ATGAAAATATTAAGTACTTTGCAATATATGAACTGTGCTTATTGGATAGATACAGGCTCGTGAGCGTTGGATGATACAAACATTATTTGTTTATTTTACACATATACAGTGTTGATGACAGACTGTTTAAATGTCTGGCATCCACCTCGTGCATAACATTTTTCAATAGTTAATAACACATATCATAACGCGAAGCTAAACATGATTGTTTATGTTTTAAAACGGCCATTATCTTAGCTTTTTCAGTTGGTAAGGCGTTTCAGATTTAAATTAACCCAAAAGATTGAGTCTGTTATATTTGACACTATGTCATTGGTATGTTTCACACTTTTCAAAACCGAGACTGTTCATATCAAACATACATTAACATTTCGGGGTTACGAGTGCCCATGAATCTAAATTTATACCTTAAAGGGGAAGCTGTGGAGATTGACATAAATATCACTGATTTCAAGAAAAAAATTTACACACCATGGTGGGAACTGTGACGACTTTGAACGACACCAACATTGCGATCAAGGGTTGTGCTGCTGGTAAACAGAATGTCAGATTGGATGCTTGGGCTATTGGTATCGCAAAATAATATGGATGAATTCCTTTCACGTGTGCCTGCGATAGACAATTATGAAATATATATATATATATATATATATATATATATATATATATATATATATATATATATATATATATATAACGGATACGTCATCACAATTAGTATATGTGTTAATGCAACACTCACATATTTAATTTTATGTTCAGAATAAAATAGTTTTTACCGTTACGTAAACAATAGGTAGAATAATGCTCATGTACACTGCACCACTTAAAAATTCGGTCAGCAGGGCACCCATAGTGGTAGTGATCAGCAACACTATCCATGGGTCCAATGAGTTCAAAACATCTAACGTGTCAGCTACCAACATGTCAAGACCAGATTTCTAAGAAGAGTTATAAAGATATGAAAGTCACTTGCCTTTGACATGAAACACAACGTTACATTAGTGATCTATACAAATATCAACAAAATGTATAAACAGTTTTATGAACCAATCCACATTCAATCCTAACATCAGTGCCGCATATATAGCACTGCATAATACTTTACACCCGAAGACACCATATTCTGCACTAAATAATGATATATAGACGGTGCATGGTTAGCAACTCGAGAGACAGTTCGAACTAATTACTAACTAACAATTTTGTCAAACCACATTATCCACAAAACTGAAAATATTTACAAATTCAAATGTATGCTTAGAGTTCAACGCTTATCGCCCTACTGATGTTGTGTTACGCACTGTTCTGTATTTGTCAACAACAGTCATAACAACATATGGGTATGTATACCAATGTGATATTGAATCAAACATCGTAGTAATGTCTTCACCACAATTTATAAATTAAAGTAAAGTAAAGTACAAAATGTCATCTACAATCGACAGACGTAGATACGTTCAAAGCTCCTTCCGGTCTAAAATAACAGCGCACACATTAGGAATGACACAATTTACACTCTAATGATTTGATAATTATACTACACATTTACCTTGATGCCTACTGTAATCGAGAGTCCTCCTCCAGCTAAAAATACAATATCCCAGGGTACTCGACTTAAAACAAAATATGAAACAACTAGAAAGTAGCACGTAGTTGTGTGGTACTAATATGATATTTATGACATAAACGTATGTGCTGGATATAAACTAATGATGATTTACTTTTTGTTCAATTGTGATTGTTTGTTTGTTTTATGATGATGATGAGGATGATGATGATGATGATGATGATCATCATCATCATGAAGAAGCCTCGCACATCGTCGGTCATCAGATTGTGGGGAAATGTGGAAGTTTGTAATTAATTAGTCAATCCATATGTCTTAGATATGTCAAGCCTTTGGTCGCCATGTATCGGCATCCATTTAGTTGAGATAAAATACACAGTGACTTGTTCTTTTGTTTGTTTTTGTGTTGTTGTTTTTTTTCCGAAAAATTTAGCGGCTTTAAATTTAGAGGAATAATCAAACGGCTTTCATTTTCAGTTACAGGGCTCATTTATTTATTCTACTTTCACAGGATTACTCATATTTATCTCACCCTGGTTTGAACCATGATCTCCAACCCGTCACAAACTTGGGGTCTTCAAAAAGCCACATAACTATCAGCACAACAAAAATGAAGATAACCACTATTTCTGACCACCTGAATATATATAAATATTATGGAATTAAAGTTCGAAAGCGTTATAATAATTATCCTTCACCCATTTCTACATGATCTAGCATTAAACATAATCTAAATGCACATCCAAAGCAATTGTTTAATATCGCAGAAACGTACGACTACTATATTAACTATTTTAACATACACTACTCCAATACCGTTGAGGACGGTTTGTTTAGTTATGCTAATTGTCCATGTTAGTATAGAGCAGACACACTTAACAAACGGTCTGGAATAGATTGTATCACGATTGATATATAACAATGAATGTGCTTCAAAAACGAGATTTATAATAAATGTGTGTACTTAATAGCGCCCAGTTCGTCATATTGTTTGCGTAATACATCCACAATACCACCTTCTTCTGTCTGCTTCTTTTTTAGACAGTTACTTCGACCAGAGAAACAAAGTAATATAGATTGACTAGAAAGTAAGAAAACGATTTCGTGATTGTATGCATTATTATATTTCACATTTTACTAGTTCCATGTCACATTTGGGCTAAGGAAATTATGCGAAATAAAAAGTTATTATTATCTGTCACCGTAACTTCATAAGCTATTTCCATCCTACCATATAAGAAAATGCGAATTCCAAATATGGAATGATTTTATTAATAACCCAAAAAATCCTGGCTGCCACCAGCCAGGGTTTAACCGGACTTCACACATCGAAGTTCACTGATGCTGTTTTAATCTTTTTGGATTTCGGCATTCACATCATTATTCTTAGAAGGAAAAGATGTATAGTAATAAAGTTATTTCGATTATACCAAAATGTATGCACCCAGACAGTACGCCGTCGCATCGAACTTCGTTTTGATATACAAATGTAAAAAATACTAGTTAATACTCACCCTAAATTCAAAAAAAAGGTTGGCAACCAGGTCCAGGCAAGAACCAAGCATACTATCTGCGTTGGTATTGCATATACCATCCACTCGCCAAAATTCGGCTTTGCACTTGGGCCATAATATCTGCAAGGACGTTTGGATGTACCAGTAATTATATTATAGCATTATCAATACCAATAAATTGTACGACGTCATTGCAGCAGATTATTCGTGATCTTACTATTGAGCATCAATGCCCCGTTCCAAGGATATTTATAAAATGCATCTTTCACAAACGCATAAATGAGAGTTCATTTAAAAAGAAGCGAAACGTACATTTAATAATAAAATAGGCATCAAATGAACAGGTCCATTGCCAGTAACACCGGATTTCAATGTCTAAATCAGATGTTGTAACGCAATCGTTGTCTGCACTGCACGTACGCTATATCGCGATCGGTTTCAACATACCATCTAAAACGCGCGTTTCTATTTTCCATGACTGGTGCAACTGTTGCAACTGTTGCCTCCCGATCGTGTGAATGAACTGAGGTTGGTATTATGTGATTTATCCAAGCAAATGTGAAAAGCGAAGTGAGAGTATGTTTGCAGAGCTTGAGTATAGAGATATGTATTTGTTCTGTTGCTTGCTTTTTAGTGGCACTACTGGTATTGACAACGCTACAAAATAATAACAATAATGAACTACCCTCCAAGGCATAATGGACTCAAGTATATTCTGTAAGCTTTTGCGCATGATGGGCTGGTGTGTCGTATGTTATTATTTTATTATAATAACTGCTACAATACGCACATACAAAGTTAAAAACCAAAACAGTTAATTCGAGTTGATGAGATCATAGATGTGTAATTAAATTAGTTTATGTAAGTGTGTTTTATCTATTTTGTCAAACGTATTTTTTATGAATTAAATTGATGTTGTTTTGGTATGTGTTACTTACTGCTTATCAGAAAAAAATATAGAGTTCCGGTTTATGTTCACATGGTTAATTGCTTAATGTGCGACGTGCATTATCATGTATTATTCTGCGACACCAAACATGAATTTATTTTATGTTTGTTCATAAATAGAATATAAACAATTTGATGGTATAAATGCTTGATCTCAATATCCCCTGAACTTGTTTGAGCATTTATATATTAAATCATACTATAATGAAATCGATGTAAGCTGATTATAACAGCATTTACATCTCACAAACCATTTTTACATACATCTATGGTACCTATTTATTCGGATTTAATTTAAGTGGAAAAAATTATCACAATTTGTTCTGCCTGGGTTAGAGCGCCACCAAACAAAACAAGCAGTTCCAATTTTCACAATGACACAATACATGATGTACAACCGCACTGTAGCGCTGCAGCGAACAATGCATCGATGTGAGTACATCCGAACCAACGTGAGTAAACATGTTAAACTATGACATTGTTGACGCCATGTTTGTGTGTTTGTGTTGGAACTACATTCTTGATTGCCAATTGTGACCAATAATTATCGGGACTGTAGATGCATATCATTTGCCTGTGTATGATTATTATCATTTTTTCTACAAAGTCAATCTATCATGTATGACGGCCAATACGTGTTTGTCAATGACGTATCCTTATCAAGTGAAATCAAATGAAACTAAGTTAAATTTAGAGCTCACTCACTTCTCCAGGTTTTGAACCAATACCAATGGTATATACGTTCCAACTAATGTCCCGACTCCGCCAATTGTCAGTGCCTGAACCAATCCCAAATTAAAACACATCATCAAATGTGAAGGCCCATTTGTACCATTTCTTGTTACGTCACCAGGGTACGAGTTTTTCGGCTGCTGTTCCCTCATTCCAGTACTGACGGAAAATGAAAATAATCTCCTCTTACTGGCTTGACAAACTGATAAATACACACTATGACAGCAAAAAAGTCTTACCAATTCTCCTCAATTACGGCAGACATTTCGATTGCATTCTCGTCACGAGTTGCTTTTCCATTTTTATGATGCTCTTGCTCATAAGCACTGTTCACCATACCCTAAATATTGAGAGTGTATAACACATTTGATTTAGTAATTATAGTTGATATCATGTAAAAGCCAATCAAGCGATATCATACTTGAGGTCAAAAGTTCTTGGCCAGTGGGTGTACGTGTTTGCGTTGAAGCTGTACACATATCGGGATCTCACGTGTGATTGTTGACGAAATGCTTTGATGTGAAGGATTACAAGCTATGTTTTTCACATTTTTATGAGACATTATAGTAAATTTAATCGCAGACTAACGGCAATAAAATCAAGAAGTCATTTTTAATGGTGTACTAATTGTAGGCATTTTAAAAGAAACCCATTCCTCAAAATGACGACTCTAAATATGAAACATTGGTTACATTTGTTTTTGAATTTTGTAAAAAATATAGGAAGTTTTTTTTTTTTTTTAATTATTTGCTTATTGAATTACAAATATAATTACAATATTTCTGATATTTAAAATAAGTGGACAAACCAACGAAGAATGAGCGGATTAAAATAAATAACATACAATACTCATTTTCTTTCATTCGCTGTGGTAGATCATGTAGTATAATAAATCTTTACAAACAACAATAGCAAGATATCACGATTTCAAAGATTATGTTTCATTGCAATGACCTACTTGATTACCATGGGGTTTTGTTGTTTATCATATAGAGTGAGTAGTCAGAAATACATTTGTTCTAAACAACGATCGCCGCCAACGTTCTCTTAATATATTGAAAACAGTCTTGCGTGCAGTGTAAGTATATTAATAACCTGACACATTTGTATGACCTTTACCCTTACCGTTGGGTTACTGTGGTCCTGGCGGGATTGTTTTTCGAGCTCCTCTACCAACACTTGTACTATTGGAAATAGCATTGCATAAACAGCCATATTCATAATCCACATTGATAGGAACGCTGCGGTGATCATCAAAGACAATAATAACCTTGAATATAAACATGAAAAGTCAGAGGACAAATACAATTAGGTCTGGCCATTGTGAGTATGGTTCTTGACATGTGTATGAACCCAACATTAATGGTAGTTATGATCCAACTCAACAGTGACATAAATACGTGAGTAGTTGTTTTTGTTTACATCATACAGTTAACATGTGAGTAAACGTGTTTTTCAACACTTGTGTCAATGGTGCATTCAGTCAACGTCGTAATTTAATTTAATTTAATTTAATTTAATTTAGTTTAATTTAATTTAATTTAATTTAATTTAATTTTATTTTATTTTATTTTTATTTTATTTTATTTGGATCTATTATTCATTTGTTGATAGTTTTTTGGTAATTAAAGTTTCGGTAATTGCGAATGCCAGCCAAACAAGGATCTGACCCAATACCTATATAAATCAGTTCAAATCTCGTATAAGCTACGGCCAATCACAGCTAGCCTTTTATATTGGCCGACGGCGTACTCACTTGAAAAAAATAGTTAACAAACAATTCCAATGTACAAGAAAAAAGATCGTGTTGCGTCGCATGGGTTTCATTTTGAAGATAATCATCTCAATCAAAGTTTGGTCGGGGGAAATGCCCGGAAAAGGAGGTTAGATTCTCGGGTAAATTTTTCGTTTGCCTTTGGAAGTTACAAAATCAAGTTCTATTGTGTACTGCGATAGACAATTTATTTGATTTTTATTTTCACTGAGAAGTTCTTGACCATATTTTCTTGTTGTTGCACAAAACATTAGATAGTCATTGATTCGGTGGTCCAAATGTGCGGTTGACTGCCGATCGCGAAGCCCTGTCTAGCATAAATTATGTATTGGGGGTATGATGGAGGTGGTTTCTACGATGTTAAATTTCTTCGGTATAAATTTATTTGAATGCAGCTATTGCGTACTTGATTTTCAGTAGCATTTTGTTTAAATGTTTTTGTGCCAGGCAACAGTTCCGGACATTGAATGTCACTGTTGTCTCTCCTGACTTTCTTTTGTATGTGAAAATTGCAAGTGCTAGTGCTGACACATAGTGCATTTTACCACAGAAGTCATATTCATGTTTGGGGCTACATGACAGGGCTGTGTGGCCATCTCTCTATCAAATA